CTTTCTGTTTCTTTTTTCCTCCTTTATTTCCAAAATACTAAATTTTAGATAAATTCGACAGAGAAAAGGCACAAAAAAAAAATGCAAATTCTGGAGAAAAGCCTTTTTGGAACAAAAATGTACAAGAAATATATAGGTTCAGTTAATCTTTCAGCCCTTTTATAGCATATATGCCACTGTGTTTTTATAATCGATTTTCTACAATAAACCCAGAGAAAATTCTACAGAAAATTTAAAAATAACAATACTAATTTTAAAAAATAAAAATAAAAATCCGAATGAGTCTATATCTCAGAATCTCAATAAGAACCTCTTAAACAGCAGAAATTTCGACGAACATTAAAGAAGAGAAAATATGGGTTTTTCAGCTGAGAATCTTTAAATTGCAATCTAATAAAAATTAAAGGAAAATTTATGGAAGGAGTCTTGGTTGGGAGAGGAAGATGAGAGGGGGTTGTTTTATGTAATGTGAACTCTTGTATTATATTGTACATCAAGAAAATGTTTCAACTTTTCTTGGTTATATTTCACATTATTTTATGTTATTTGCTTATCTTTTCCAATTTCATTCACTTCATTTTGTTCTTTTAACTCTCGATAGACCCAAGTGGCTAAGTTGGGGGATGTTACTACTCTGTCATTTTTTTCAAAAGTTTAGTGAACGTTTTGCATAAAATTTTAAGAAAATCCTAATTATGATTAAATAAAAAAGGGAATACATCTTATAATCTCATTATACTTTAAATGTCAAAAGTCAAACTTTAATTTTAGTCCCACATTCCGTAAGCCTCACAACTATTGCCCACTTTTTTATAACTTATTTCTATCAATTTATAATTTTAATAACTTATAATTTTTTCCAACAAGCACATGGCAAGAGAGCAAGAAAATATGATGTGTAAGTCTCTTCTTCTTCTTCTTCTTATTGTTATTATGTAATTTTTTTCATGATCGATAACAATTTTTATTTTTGATTTACAGTGATATAGATAAATATGAAAATTACAATTACAATGACTTGGGATCTTACTATTCATTAACACATTCACAATTTTTAATTTATTTTTTGTTATTGATCTGTATTATTCGTGGATCCCAATTGACGTGTCACGAATTGATTTGATCTAGTTTTGATGAGAATCGATTACCAATTTACCATTGAGAATTCTTTACGTGAAACGTGATAATTAATATGATCGAATTGAACTGAACCACAACGAAAACAAATTTAATTTATCTTTATACAATAATATATTGAATTACATGTTACACTATACATGCGGAATTAGTAATTTATTTCAAACCACATCAAATTGATCGATTCAATTAGCAAATTTTTTTTTATTTTTTTGCTATTGTATTCTAAGAATCTTATAGTATGACAAGTTGGATGAAATTGTTTGGGAAAATATCAAATAAATCTGAGTTAATTTTTGGTTTTCCAAGAAACTTTAAAACTCAATAATAAATGCTCATCTGTAAGTTCAATGACCTTTCATGTTTATTGACTTTAAATGAGAAAAATATTTTCAAAAGTTGGAACGTCATCTTTCTTCTCTTATATCTCAATATTTCTCATCAAAGATCTTGACAGTGCTCAATGTATTATAATTTAACTTTTTGCTATAATTTCACATAAATTAATTTTGTCGTCAATATTAAAAGATTATTGTCTTGCAAAATTCAATGATTACTATTACTATTATCTTAAAAGTAAAATATAAACGACGGGAGAACCAGAAGAGGAAAGAAGTTTGTTTAGACGTTTCTTATTCTTCTTTTTTATTTTAGATTTTTGCATATAATAACTATTTTTATTTTTTTTGGCATATAGGAAATTTTACAAAACATGTCCTGCATTAAGGGTGTATTTACAATCTGTACAACATATTATTTAAAATTACATTTTACATACTGAATTTACTATTTGTAACAAAAAAACGTGTTTTATAGGAAAAATTGAAATATTATTAAATTGCCATAATAAGTGGCTAAACATACTAAAGTGTATATTGATCTCCAAATTTGATTGGACCCATCATGTCAAAAAATATTTCCTTCGCTCCTCTCTTAGCATACATTTGCACTTGGTATTCACGTGTTAGATGAACAATATTAGAGACTCTCAAAAAAAAAAAATTAAAATAAAATAAAAAATTGTGGGAGACCACGATGATACATGCTCATACACTCAAGTCAATCATGAAAAAGGACAATAATGCATATTAAGTTCACGAGTACACAAAAAAAGACAGTAATGCGTATTAAGTGCACGAGTACACTTACAAAAGAAAAGGTAATTTTGAGTCAAGTTTGTACTTTGAGAGAGAGCGAGTATCAAATTGTTGATTACTCTTGTATAACACTAAATTTGAGTATTTATAAGTAATAGAAAAGAATAGAGGTTCTCTAGATATTTGATACGTGACATTATCTTAACAAAGTCTCTATCTGATAGATAGTGAGTGTGAGGACGAAAAATTGCAACTTCATATCATCAAAATAATAAAATAATAGACGTCTACTACCTAGTGCTTCCTTGTGTTGGTTAGATCACCCGTCTTTTTCTAGCATCTCTTGGCTAATGGGGTGTTCTTTGGTTGCCTTGGAAAGGTAGGCTGATATCATTGCTTAGCATGTAGGCAGGGGTTCACCCAATGTTTTACATTATTTAACATTTTATATACCCTTTTATAATTTTTTTCAATCTGGTAATTTCTATTACTAGCACTCTTTCATCTAGAAAAATTAACATTTCTCTCTCATCCCCATCTTTTCTCAAACAATAGATTTTTCTATTAATTAAGGTATTTTAAATTTGCTATTCACCAGACATTTTTAATTGGATTTGTAACACAGATCTATAAAATTTTATAAATAATATTGATATTTATCTTATATCTTATATTCTTAATGTTTCTCGTAAAAAAAAAAAAATATATAATATATATATATATATATATATAAGAAAGAAAGAAAAGAAAATGAGTATGAAAAATAATAATGTATGAATTCTTGAAAAATTGTAAATTACAAAATGGTATAAATTTATAACTTGAACATAAAACAAATTAGAAATTTATTTTAAGATGCAAAATAATAAATAGCTGTATATATTATTTTACTTCGTTTTTCTAAAAAAAATATTATTCATTGAACATAACTTATTTATTATAGGATGACTACTAATAATTTTCATTTGTCGAGTTAATAATGGTGGGAAATTTTAAATGAAGTTTTTACTATTTTTTTACAACTCAATATTATTATATTAAATTTTATATTTAGTTTTCCAGTTGTAGTTTGTACAAAATGAAGATTAATAAATATCATAAGCTTCTAATAATTAAAATCTAAAGAAAAATAAAATAAGTATTTCAGTTTGTGCATAGTTATTTATAATGACAAATTTGTAAATATTTCTATTTTTAATGCAAAATATGTTTTTATTACCAATAAATAAAATATATATTTAGCCCTCGTTTGGCCCCGATTCTGTAGAAATGAAAATGGGTAGAATAATATTTTTTTGAAAAATGAGTGGTTGAAAAAAAAGGAAATTTTTTTAATTTACGTGTAATATTATTTTATAAAAGATTATGTAATTAAAAATAAAAAAGAGAAAAATGAAATATAATGGAATGAAAATTAATGGGATCAAATAGGGACTTAAAATATATAATATGCACTTTTCTAGAAAATATTTTATTTTTTAATACACACTTTAAATGCAGGAGGTATTTTGTAAATTTCCCTATTTTACATTAGAATGACGCGTGGTGCACCTAATAATTAATGCGGTCACGCATCTTTAGCCAATCGTCTACATTGTTGGGTCCATCTGACGTGTCACGCGCTGACCTTTGACCTGCAGCTTGTTTGTTTATAGCCTCATTATCCATCCTTGATAAAGGACATAATTTTAATTTGTGATTGAGACACGTTATTTTGAAAGAATTACATTATAAAATTATAAATTGATGAAGAATGTGTAATTAAAAAATGAGGAAAAATTTTGAATTTATGTATAATATTATTTTATTAAAAATTTGTGATTAAAATAATGTCAAATCACTATTTAAAAATGCATTTTTTGAAAAAATGTGGTCTGATCGGGACCTTTATTTGAATAACTGAACTTTCAATGGGGTCATTCTCTTTAATTCTCAATCGAATTAGTAAACTTTAATATACTTTTGAATTTAGTCATTTTTACCCGTCAATAAAATTAACATCTGATTCATACATCGACATTGACACAGCGTGGCCACTTTTACAAAGTGTTAATTTCAATTTTGACTGCTCAACTTTTGTGAAATTAGGTAATTTATATTTAATTCAGAGCAAATCAAATCACTAATCTGGATATTGAATTAATATTAAGGCCTCATTTGATTCTCATTTTTCTCAAAACGTCAACACAAGCCGAGTTTTAACGAGCCGACGAGCCGCTCGGCTCGTTTGACATCCCGATTCAATCTGCTATTCTAAAATTCATTTTTCCATAAAAATGAGTGTCAAACACCCTCTAAAATAAAAAAGAGGGACCCAATTTTCTCATTACGATTTTATTGACACAAAAATAAAATTAAATTCCAAAATATTTAACAATTTTATTCGAAACGATAAATGAGATAAATGAATAAGGATGATAGATAGGAAAATGATGCGTAGAAGAAGGTTTCAATTTAGTGAGTCAACATCCATAGAGTCATGCGAACCAACTTCTAATGATCTCTTGATAACTTTGTCCATTACATCCGATCCGTCTATTCTATGCACCATCGAGAATATGTTGGTCCACTACCTGTATTTTATTCGACGACTTTAATTTGTCCAGTCAAATCTAAAGATAAACCATGAGAACAAAAATTCATCTCCATTTTAACGAGTCAGTAGAAAGATTAGGTATACATCGACGGTAAAAAATGAAAGTTGAAACAATAAATGAGATTTGATACTGGATAAACCTAAAGAGGAATCTGAGTTTTGCATTTTTCTTTTAAAATAAATTGACAATAGGAGGATGATTCTCGATCAATTTTGACTAGATTGGCACACATAAAGTCAAAACGGTTCAACCTCAATAGTCGTGGCTCAAGTGGCTTTGCAAACAATTATGTCTCATTTGATTTCAAATATGTTAGGTAAGATCTTTTTTGGGAAGAATGAATTTTTGAATAGTGCATTGACGGGAAATATGTGGTTAAAAAATAAGGAAAAATTTTGAATTTGCGTATAATTTTATTTTATTGAAGAATGTGTAGTTGAAATGATGTCAAAATACTGTTGAAAAATAAATTTTTCTAAAAGAATGAAATAAGTAATAGCAAAAAAACCGTTTATTCTCAAACTTAACTATGAAGTAATCTTATTTATAGGTATTTGATTATTTTCACAAGCTTACCAAATTAATAAAGAACTGAGATTTAAGTCGATATTCAAATTCAAAAAAGGGTTGCCCAATAATATTTTATCTTTAGTTGATGCAGGACATTCACCTTTGAGCAACTTTTGACAATGCCATGTTCATTTGTTTTTTAATCAAAATTTTACAAGATGCAAACTTAAAATAATTTGGATTATTATCAGGTGTGGCAACAACCATAACAACGACAATAAAACAATTCATTCTCTTTAAGTTTAGAGTAGACCGTATTAAATGCGATCGAAAAAGTTGGGATAAAAAACTAAGTCAACTCAAATGGATTTGTCACCAAGAAAAGTAAATATTTATATAAATGCTAAGGTGAAGATCAATACAAAAGCCATGGAATGTCTCTCACTTTTGGGAAAGAAAAAAATACTTTATTATTTTTTTGGAGACTAATTTAATAATTTTTAAAAGAAATTCATATTCCAAAAGTACTTTTAAAGGAAACCATGTTAAACCAACTTTCTTTAAATACTCTTTTAACTAAAAGACACACTATCATAAATTAGTCAAACGAGGTTCAAAAACAGCTTTTGAATCTCAAAAGTTCATTTTGACTTCTCAGAGAAGTCATGCCAAACAGCCCTAGTGTAATGCAGTAGCCAATCAAGATCTACTCATCAACAAAAAATAAAAATCTACTATAGGGAATTTATTGGTTAGTAGTACAAAAACCCCACATTTGTGAGAGAGAGAGATCAATCAGGTTATACTATGATATGGAGCTCAAACACAACATAACAAACAAACACTGATGCTGTAAGTTCACAAAATCTGGTTATTCTAGCACTTGGTGGTTCTCACTTAGCCATACCCCATGTAATCTTTGGGGAAGAAAAAGCATTAAAAGCTTGACAAAAGCTTGTGTAGAATTATCTTACTTCAGTATGCATGCTTGTGGACATTTTCTCCTGATTACGTTGGTCGGTATCTGCATTTTGCAGATGACCATTTTTTTCTGCCTCAGCTGCCTCGAAAGAAGCCTGTTTTTGCATGGCCTTCATCATCTCCTCCATCGTTTTCTCCTCCCCTTCGAGCTGTACTTTCATTATCATCTCTGCTTCCTTGTCAATCGGCTTAAAGTACTCCTCAATGGCAGCCTCCTACATATGATCAACCATATTTTCAATAACCTTACAAGATAGCCAATAACAAGAGAGAATGGCAGAAAGGAACTAATAGAGCCAGTATGGATTTTAACCCCGTGCATCCACAAAATGATTTATAGCAGCATACGTACACTCGGTAATAAATCAAAATTCATCTTAAGGAAGATCCATTACCCATTTTTCAGAACAATCAACTGATCTTGTGAGAGAACCTAAGCCAATCTAGAGGAGTCTCCTGCTACGGTGGTAATGAAATCAAAGACAGATAGGAGTTTGATGATAAGTTGGAGAACTAATTTAATACAGAACGAAGCAATGATTATATGAAGTTACAATTGCAATCTGTGTAAATATTAGAAATGTTCGATCTTAAAAGTCATCAAGAAATCGAACGTTGCTTGTTCACTTGTGCTCATGAAGAAGAACCCAACAAAGACACTGCTCATTTTGGCAAATGAGCGTGCAATGGATATTTTTCTTTCAGTCTGTCAACAATTGAACAAAAGCAATAAAGTTATTACTTGAGCCAAATATATGAACACACAAACAGCAATATTGTAGTCTAGCAGACTAGCACTAAATTCCTGGTCCAGCTAATTTTGGTGAGCAATTGGTTGTATAAGATAGGGGGCAACAACAAGCCTAACACTAGAAACATAAGGATGGAAGTTGATAGAAGACTCAGTTTGGCAAAGAAAGAAGTTCATCTATAATTCCAAGCTCCTGCTTAAAGTCTGTAGGAGCAAGAAATTAAGGTAACTAGGTAAGAATTTGGTGCAGACAAATAAAAAATCACAGCTAATGAAGCTCAAGTCTCCGCTCACTTAAATGTTTTTATGATGTGCTAAAGGAGAACCTGAAAGATGAAGTCTTTTCATTGGCAAGCAATAATATGGGGTACTAAAAGGAGAGTTGGAACACTAAAGTGTTTTCATTGGCAAGTAATTAGAAAGTACGGCACCATAAGAACAGATGTTGATAAATAGAGAATTGAGTTCCTTAAAAGAAGATCAGAACATATAGCAGCCAAATTCCACAGACGAGATCTGGTGTAGACAAATATTCTTATTGTATGTGTAACAAGACTTCATAAATGTCCATCGGTGTAGATATAATAACTTATTACCAAAAAGTGATTTGATGTCATTGAATGGTAAGCTCATAACAACAGGGTGACACCATTTGGGTAACCACTGAGTAGAGCCACACAAAACGCGACCAGTAGGCAGTTAAAAAATTGAGCATAAAACTATTCTATTCTTATATATCTATATATTTGTTCAAGCAAACAACTTTGACTCCATATTCAGAAGTATGATTTTCTTTTTTTCGTTTGAGAATGTTCGCTTTGTCATTCATAGATATGTTCTTCACCTTCAAAACCTTATAGTCCTCAAAGCCATTAGGTTCTGACCTAGCATGTAGAGGAAAATAGTTTGCCAATGTTCCCTTTGTTCTCCACCGAGAACCACATGCATTGCATAAAACTGGTTTCTCGGGGGGACCATTACGCCAAAGAGGGGTGCCTAAGGAACAAATTATAGTACCATCAGTCAAAAAGAGAAGTAAATTAAAGATGGTTATTAGCAGATAATATCTCAATGGACAGAAACAATAATGCACTCAACATTATTCCCAGATCACAACACAAAATGAAGTTTAATAAATTTTTTCAGTCTTGAGACAAAGCATTCTAGTTCAGAATGGAATTTAATTGTAATTTACTTCTCGGAATGCTCATGGGATAAAAGAAGAGAAGGATCGCTTTACATCAAACCAATGTAACTCTTTTGTTGTGTCAAGTCTGAGCTATTTGATGCTTTTCATTAACAATAGACAATGCACTTTGAAACTAACAAGGGCCCTGAAATTCCTCAAATTGAACTTATGACAAAATTTTATATCACTCCCTTTTAAGTACTGGCTCCAGGAGAACTAGTGCTTCTTATTCTTAACTTTGCCTGCAATGACAGTCCTATAACAAGTTGATGAGAAGTAGAGGCATGTATTCAACGCAGCAGTAAAAGCAATTTATGGCAGACCAAAGAGATAATATAGCTTTGTTCCAGCATAACATATTCCTTTTTTGGTTGTTTCATGATTAACCAGGAAAAGAATCCACAGAAGACTGAGGATCAAGAATACAAAAACAAATTTCTAGCTGATAAACGCGGTAAAGGAAACTTAAATGGTTGAAAAATATAGCATCTTTAAGGATACATAAGTGTTAATGCGCCATCAAAATCATTAGCAGGTGAAAAATAAATCCACGACGTGAAGTTTACATCCATAATCTCGGGATCATGTTAAATTGGTTTGCAACAGGGTCAAAATGAACTTGAAACTTTCATGAGACACAAGGTCAATAAAAACTCAAAGCTTGCTGATACACAGGTAGATTATTAATATGAATGAGATTGGTTTAATTCGTTGCCAAAGACGGACATGGAGAATAGTACAAATAATCACCAAAAATGAAATTTTACTAGAATAAAAAAAAGGGATTCAAGAAGTGCATTCTCTGATCATATCAGAAACTCCAAAACCAATAAATAGAGATGGGAGCATTGAGCATTGTTCGACTCGATCATCTTTACATTTTAATTGCAATAGAACACAGAGTATATTAGCTTCATTTCTGCATTTACATATGGTTCAAGAGAGTCAAAGGGTAGTAAACATTCAGTTTCATCAGCAGATTAAAGGAATTTCAACTCAAAGACTCACAGTCATTTGCAGCTGTTAAGAAACCAAATGAACAAGCAAATAAGCAAACAAACAGAATATTATTTATAACTGAACGTGTGACTGAGAATCGTTCATTGTCCGGTTAATCTCTTATTTCCAAAAAATTAATTGATTTCACTTATTAAATTACTAATTATAAATTATGAACCCGTCTTCAGAACACTGAAAAATATTAAAAGGAATTTATATTTTCCTGAATATTCGGAGAATTATTGAAGAAAATATATGTTGAAGATACAAAACTCACTAGTAACACCACAGTGGTAGCAAGGTCCTTGCTTTCCCATGTCTTTCTGTTTCTTTTTTCCTCCTTTATTTCCAAAATACTAAATTTTAGATAAATTCGACAGAGAAAAGGCACAAAAAAAAAATTGCAAATTCTGGAGAAAAAGCCTTTTTGGAACAAAAATGTACAAGAAATATATAGGTTCAGTTAATCTTTTAGCCCTTTATAGCATATATGCCACCGTGTTTTTATAATGGATTTCTACAATAAACCCAGAGAAAATTCTACAGAAAATTTAAAAATAACAATACTAATTTTAAAAAATAAAAATAAAAATCCGAATGAGTCTATATCTCAGAATCTCAACAAGAACCTCTTAAACAGCAGAAATTTCGACGAACATTAAAGAAGAGAAAATATGGGTTTTTCAGCTGAGAATCTTTAAATTGCAATCTAATAAAAATTAAAGGAAAAATTATGGAAGGAGTCTTGGTTGGGGGAGGAAGATGAGAGGGGGTTGTTTTATGTAATGTGAACTCTTGTATTATATTGTACATCAAGAAAATGTTTCAACTTTTCTTGGTTATATTTCACATTATTTTATGTTATTTGCTTATCTTTTCCAATTTCATTCACTTCATTTTGTTCTTTTAACTCTCGATAGACCCAAGTGGCCAAGTTGGGGGATGTTACTACTCTGTCATTTTTATCAAAAGTTTAGTGAACGTTTTGCATAAAATTTTAAGAAAATCCTAATTATGATTAAATAAAAAAGGGAATACATCTTATAATCTCATTATAGTTTAAATGTCAAAAGTCAAACTTTAATTTTAGTCCCACATTCCGTAAGCCTCACAACTATTGCCCACTTTTTTATAACTTATTTCTATCAATTTATAATTTCAATAACTTATAATTTTTTCCAACAAGCACATGACAAGAGAGCAAGAAAATATGATGTGTAAGTCTCTTCTTCTTCTTCTTTTTATTGTTATTATTTAATTTTTTTCATGATCGATAACAATTTTTATTTTTGATTTACAGTGATATAGATAAATATGAAAATTACAATTACAATGACTTGGGATCTTACTATTCATTAACACATTCACAATTTTTAATTTATTTTTTGTTATTGATCTGTATTATTCGTGGATCCCAATTGACGTGTCACGAATTGATTTGATCTAGTTTTGATGAGAATCGATTACCAATTTACCATTGAGAATTCTTTACGTGAAACGTGATAATTAATATGATCGAATTGAACTGAACCACAACGAAAACAAATTTAATTTATCTTTATACAATAATATATTGAATTACATGTTACACTATACATGCGGAATTAGTAATTTATTTCAAACCACATCAAATTGATCGATTCAATTAGCAAAAATTTTTTTATTTTTTTTATTTTTTTTTATTTTTTTGCTATTGTATTCTAAGAATCTTATAGTATGACAAGTTGGATGAAATTGTTTGGGAAAATATCAAATAAATCTGAGTTAATTTTTGGTTTTCCAAGAAACTTTAAAACTCAATAATAAATGCTCATCTGTAAGTTCAATGACCTTTCATGTTTATTGACTTTAAATGAGAAAAATATTTTCAAAAGTTGGAACGTCATCTTTCTTCTCTTATATCTCAATATTTCTCATCAAAGATCTTGACAGTGCTCAATGTATTATAATTTAACTTTTTGCTATAATTTCACATAAATTAATTTTCTCGTCAATATTAAAAGATTATTGTCTTGCAAAATTCAATGATTACTATTACTACTATCTTAAAAGTAAAATATAAACGACGGGAGAACCAGAAGAGGAAATAAGTTTGTTTAGACGTTTCTTATTCTTCTTTTTATTTTAGATTTTTGCATATAATAACTATTTTTTTTTTTTTTTTGGCATATAGGAAATTTTACAAAACATGTCCTGCATTAAGGGTGTATTTACAATCTGTACAACATATTATTTAAAATTACATTTTACATACTGAATTTACTATTTGTAACAAAAAAACGTGTTTTAAAGGAAATATTGAAATATTATTAAATTGCCATAATAAGTGGCTAAACATACTAAAGTGTATATTGATCTCCAAATTTGATTGGACCCATCATGTTAAAAAAAATTTCCTTAGCTCCACTCTTAGCATACTTTGCACTTGGTATTCACGTGTTAGACGAGCAATACTAGAGCCTCAAAAAAAGACTAGTAATAAATAAATAAATAAATAAATTGTGGGAGACCACGACCATACATGCTCATACACTCGAGTCAATCATGAAAAAGGACGGTAATGCATATTAAGTGCACGAGTACACAAAAAAAGGACACAAAAAAGGACAGTAATGCGTATTAAGTGCACGAGTACACTTACAAAAGAAAAGGTAATTTTGAGTCAAGTTTGTACTTTGAGAGAGAGCGAGTATCAAATTGTTGATTACTCTTGTATAACACTAAATTTGAGTATTTATAAGTAATAGAAAAGAATAGAGGTTCTCTAGATACTTGATACGTGACATTATCTTAACAAAGTCTCTATCTGATAGATAGTGAGTGTGAGGACGAAAGATTGCAACTTCATATCATCAAAATAATAAAATAATAGACGTCTACTACCTAGTGCTTCCTTGTGTTGGTTAGATCACCCGTCTTTTTCTAGCATCTCTTGGCTAATGGGGTGTTCTTTGGTTGCCTTGGAAAGGTAGGCTGATATCATTGCTTAGCATGTAGGCAGGGGTTCACCCAATGTTTTACATTATTTAACATTTTATATACCCTTTTATAATTTTTTTCAATCTGGTAATTTCTATTACTAGCACTCTTTCATCTAGAAAAATTAACATTTCTCTCTCATCCCCATCTTTTCTCAAACAATAGATTTTTCTATTAATTAAGGTATTTTAAATTTGCTATTCACCAGACATTTTTAATTGGATTTGTAACACAGATCTATAAAATTTTATAAATAATATTGATATTTATCTTATATCTTATATTCTTAATGTTTCTCGTAAAAAAAAAAAATATATATATATATATATATATATATATAAGAAAGAAAGAAAAGAAAATGAGTATGAAAAATAATAATGTATGAATTCTTGAAAAATTGTAAATTACAAAATGGTATAAATTTATAACTTGAACATAAAACAAATTAGAAATTTATTTTAAGATGCAAAATAATAAATAGCTGTATATATTATTTTACTTCGTTTTTCTAAAAAAAATATTATTCATTGAACATAACTTATTTATTATAGGATGACTACTAATAATTTTCATTTGTCGAGTTAATAATGGTGGGAAATTTTAAATGAAGTTTTTACTATTTTTTTACAAATCAATATTATTATATTAAATTTTATATTTAGTTTTCCAGTTGTAGTTTGTACAAAATGAAGATTAATAAATATCATAAGCTTCTAATAATTAAAATCTAAAGAAAAATAAAATAAGTATTTCAGTTTGTGCATAGTTATTTATAATGACAAATTTGTAAATATTTCTATTTTTAATGCAAAATATGTTTTTATTACCAATAAATAAAATATATATTTAGCCCACGTTTGACCCCCATTCTGTAAAAATGAAAATAGGAGGAATAATATTTTTTTGAAAAATGAGTGGTTGAAAAAGAATGAAATTTTTTTAATTTACATGTAATATTATTTTATAGAAGATTGTGTGGTTAAAAATAAAAAAGAGAAAAATGAAATATAATGAAATGAAAATTAATGAGGGCCAAACGGGGACTTACAATATATAATATGCACTTTTCTAGAAAATATTTTATTTTTTAATACACACTTTAAATGCAGGAGGTATTTTGTAAATTTCCCTATTTTACATTAGAATGACGCGTGGTGCACCTAATAATTAATGCCGTCACGCATCTTTAGCCAATCGTCTACATTGTTGGGTCCCATCTGACGTGTCACGCGCTGACTTTTGACCTGCAGCTTGTTTGTTTGTAGGCTCATTATCCATCCTTGATAAAGGACATAATTTTAATTTGTGCTTGAGCCATGTTATTTTGAAAGAATTACATTATAAAATTATAGATTGATGAAAAGTGTGTAATTAAAAAATGAGGGAAAATTTTGAATTTACGTATAATATTATTTTATTGAAAAATTTGTGATTGAAATGATGTCAAATCACTATTTAAAAATACATTTATTGAAAAAATGTGGTTCGATCATAACCTTTATTTGAATAACTGAACTTTCAATAGGGTCATTCTCTTTAATTCTCAATCGAATTAGTAAACTTTAATATACTTTTGAATTTAGTCATTTTTACCCGTCAATAAAATTAACATCTGATTCATACATCGACATTGACACAGCGTGGCCACTTATACAGAGTGTTAATTTCAATTTTGACTGCTCAACTTTTGTGAAATTAGGTAATTTATATTTAATTCAGAGCAAATCAAATCACTAATCTGGATATTGAATTAATATTAAGGTCTCATTTGATTCTCATTTTTCTCAAAACGTCAACACAAGCCGAGTTTTAACGAGCCGACGAGCCGCTCGGCTCGTTTGACATCCCGATTCAATCTACTATTCTAAAATTCATTTTTCCATAAAAATGAGTGTCAAACACCCTCTAAAATAAAAAAGAGGGACCCAATTTTCTCATTACGATTTTATTGACACAAAAATAAAATTAAATTCCAAAATATTTAACAATTTTATTCGAAACGATAAATGAGATAAATGAATAAGGATGATAGATAGGAAAATGATGTGTGGAAGAAGGTTTCAATTTAGTGAGTCAACATCCATAGAGTCATGCGAACCAACTTATAATGATCTCTTGATAACTTTGTCCATTACATCCGAACCGTCTATTCTATGCACCATCAAGAATATGTTGGTCCACTACCTGTATTTTATTCGATGATTTTAATTTGTCCAGTCAAATCTAAAGATAAACCATGAGAACAAAAATTCATCTCCATTTTAACGAGTCAGTAGAAAGATTAGGTATACATCGACGGTAAAAAATGAAAGTTGAAACAATAAATGAGATTCGATACTTGATAACCCTAAAGAGGAATCTGAGTTTTGCATTTTTCTTTTAAAATAAATTGACAATAGGAGGATGATTCTCGATCAATTTTGACTAGATTGGCACACATAAAGTCAAAACGGTTCAACCTCAATAGTCGTGGCTCAAGTGGCTTTGCAAACAATTATGTCTCATTTGATTTCAAATACGTTAGGTAAGATCTTTTTTGGGAAGAATGAATTTTTGAATAGTGCATTGACGGGAAATATGTGGTTAAAAAATAAGGAAAAATTTTGAATTTGCGTATAATTTTATTTTATTGAAGAATGTGTAGTTGAAATGATGTCAAAATACTGTTAAAAAATAAATTTTTCTAAAAGAATGAAATAAGTAATAGCAAAAAAACCGTTTATTCTCAAACTTAACTATGAAGTAATCTTATTTATAGGTATTTGATTATTTTCACAAGCTTACCAAATTAATAAAGAACTGAGATTTAAGTCGATATTCAAATTCAAAAAAGGGTTGCCCAATAATATTTTATCTTTAGTTGATGCAGGACATTCACCTTTGAGCAACTTTTGACAATGCCATGTTCATTTGTTTTTTAATCAAAATTTTACAAGATGCAAACTTAAAATAATTTGGATTATTATCAGGTGTGGCAACAACCATAACAACGACAATAAAACAATTCATTCTCTTTAAGTTTAGAGTAGACCGTATTAAATGCGATCGAAAAAGTTGGGATAAAAAACTAAGTCAACACAAATGGATTTGTCACCAAGAAAAGTAAATATTTATATAAATGCTAAGGTGAAGATCAATACAAAAGCCATGGAATGTCTCTCACTTTTGGGAAAGAAAAAAATACTTTATTATTTTTTTGGAGACTAATTTAATAATTTTTAAAAGAAATTCATATTCCAAAAGTACTTTTAAAGGAAACCATGTTAAACCAACTTTCTTTAAATACTCTTTTAACTAAAAGACACACTATCATAAATTAGTCAAACGAGGTTCAAAAACAGCTTTTGAATCTCAAAAGTTCATTTTGACTTCTCAGAGAAGTCATGCCAAACAGCCCTAGTGTAATGCAGTAGCCAATCAAGATCTACTCATCAACAAAAAATAAAAATCTACTATAGGGAATTTATTGGTTAGTAGTACAAAAACCCCACATTTGTGAGAGAGAGAGATCAATCAGGTTATACTATGATATGGAGCTCAAACACAACATAACAAACAAACACTGATGCTGTAAGTTCACAAAATCTGGTTATTCTAGCACTTGGTGGTTCTCACTTAGCCATACCCCATGTAATCTTTGGGGAAGAAAAAGCATTAAAAGCTTGACAAAAGCTTGTGTAGAATTATCTTACTTCAGTATGCATGCTTGTGGACATTTTCTCCTGATTACGTTGGTCGGTATCTGCATTTTGCAGATGACCATTTTTTTCTGCCTCAGCTGCCTCGAAAGAAGCCTGTTTTTGCATGGCCTTCATCATCTCCTCCATCGTTTTCTCCTCCCCTTCGAGCTGTACTTTCATTATCATCTCTGCTTCCTTGTCAATCGGCTTAAAGTACTCCTCAATGGCAGCCTCCTACATATGATCAACCATATTTTCAATAACCTTACAAGATAGCCAATAACAAGAGAGAATGGCAGAAAGGAACTAATAGAGCCAGTATGGATTTTAACCCCGTGCATCCACAAAATGATTTATAGCAGCATACGTACACTCGGTAATAAATCAAAATTCATCTTAAAGAAGATCCATTACCCATTTTTCAGAACAATCAACTGATCTTGTGAGAGAACCTAGGCCAATCTAGAGGAGTCTCCTGCTACGGTGGTAATGAAATCAAAGACAGATAGGAGTTTGATGATAAGTTGGAGAACTAATTTAATACAGAACGAAGCAATGATTATATGAAGTTACAATTGCAATCTGTGTAAATATTAGAAATGTTCGATCTTAAAAGTCATCAAGAAATCGAACTTTGCTTGTTCACTTGTGCTCATGAAGAATAACCCAACAAAGACACTGCTCATTTTGGCAAATGAGCGTGCAATGGATATTTTTCTTTCAGTCTGTCAATAATTGAACAAAAGCAATAAAGTTATTACTTGAGCCAAATATATGAACACACAAACAGCAATATTGTAGTCTAGCAGACTAGCACTAAATTCCTGGTCCAGCTAATTTTGGTGAGCAATTGGTTGTATAAGATAGGGGGCAACAACAAGCCTAACACTAGAAACATAAGGATGGAAGTTGATAGAAGACTCAGTTTGGCAAAGAAAGAAGTTCATCTATAATTCCAAGCTCCTGCTTAAAGTCTGTAGGAGCAAGAAATTAAGGTAACTAGGTAAGAATTTGGTGCAGACAAATAAAAAATCACAGCTAATGAAACTCAGGTCTCCGCTCACTTAAATGTTTTTATGATGTGCTAAAGGAGAACCTGAAAGATGAAGTCTTTTCATTGGCAAGCAATAATATGGGGTACTAAAAGGAGAGTTGGAACACTAAAGTGTTTTCATTGGCAAGTAATTAGAAAGTACGGCACCATAAGAACAGATGTTGATAAATAGAGAATTGAGTTCCTTAAAAGAAGATCAGAACATATGCAGCCAAATTCCACAGACGAGATCTGGTGTAGACAAATATTCTTATTGTATGTGTAACAAGACTTCATAAATGTCCATCGGTGTAGATATAATAACTTATTACCAAAAAGTGATTTGATGTCATTGAATGGGTAAGCTCATAACAACAGGGTGACACCATTTGGGTAACCACTGAGTAGAGCCACACAAAACGCGACCAGTAGGCAGTTAAAAAATTGAGCATAAAACTATTCTATTCTTATATATCTATATATTTGTTCAAGCAAACAACTTTGACTCCACGTGTTATATGTATGTGAGCCTGCATGTGAAAATGTGTGTGCCTGATTTAATGCTTCGTAAACACAGGAGAGCCAATTTCATCAACAGAATCTTTCAAGCCATATGATGAAGGTCTTTGTTGGCAGTGCAACTCTTCAAAGCATAAGAATATTCTGAATAGAGACAAGGATGCGTATATATTGTAACATAGATAATTTTTACTTTCTTTATTAACAAAATTTATGATTACAGTATGTCAACAGGAAGACAAAAAATTATTCTTCAAATAGAAATGCATTACATTTATTTAAGGCAACAAGAAAGGATTGCTCTTTTAATTCAAATTGTCATTATTGGTTTAGAGAACAAAAGTGCTTAAATCTTATTTATTACCAGCAGATATAAATCAAACTTGGGAGAGAAATAAACTTCAAATGATTAATGGGTATAGAAGAATGAATAATCCTTAGCTGTGTGGAATCAAGCATGTGTTTATAGATTTGCAGGATATAATTGCAAGGTATATTATTGACATCAACAAACTATATCTTACCTAATTCCAGAAATGGGCGTATAACACCACGTCAAAATAGAAAGACAAACAGAGATAAATATATCTAAAGATGCATGATTTAATATGAACACACTAGCTCTATGTTTCTAAATACTGAGAATGGCCTTTTTTCATCAAAATATGAGGTTAGCTTATAGCGTGCTCAAGTTTGCTCCATATGTTTAATGTTTCCCCCAGCTGTCCTCAAGCACTCGAGGTTGAATCAGGTAACCAGGGGGCTGCCCAGTATGAAATGAATAAGAAGGCTTCTCTCGTATGGTACTAGAATTAAGAAGCCTAAAAAATGCAAGAAATTGTCAACCCCTGGTCAATGACATTATTATGCACATTCATAAAAATTTTCACACTACAACTAAGCACATTAAACATCTCAGAATACGCAAAGCACCTTGACCTTTAGACTGTATCAGGAAAACTAATCAATTAATTCCATATGTTGCTATCATACAACCACATGAACCCATGGAGCTATAATCACGGATCAGTTTATCTTTTACCATCCAACTTATGTTCTTTATATGATTTGACAATTCACCCATATTAAGGGAATAGTGCATTTGCAGAATCACAAGTAACAGGACAACCAAAATCACATTTCTCTTTGGTGTAACCAATGTGTGCTCAAGCTTCATATTAAACGCCAAAGCACCCTATTTACATTTCACAAACATCCTCCCCAATATGCAAAAACCATGTGGCATAACCAAAAATTTACAAATTACAAGTTCCGAAATTTAGCCAGATTAACAGGAAAAGAAAACTCACAGTTTCGTCTAACTTCTTATTCAAAGCTTTCATTTCCTCGACCATCCGCCGCACCTCTGACAAAATTATTTGTTCAGGGACCTTTCTGATTTCTGCTTTTCTCTCTTGTGCCTAGTCAGATATAAGAATTAAATCATAAGCCCATTGGAAAACAAATTTAAGAATACAGACACACAACCTATGAATTTACGGTAAGCAAAATGTCAAGAATCAGAGCATCTAATATAACTGTATCTACATTTTAGACTGTGACACGTTCAGAGAACTAATAGAACCATTTTGGCCCAATATCATATTTTAAATTGACTCATTTACAGCTAAATAGAACTATTTCGATCTTATGAAGTTTGATAACTGGCCAAAGCCATTTGTGGACAGATTCTTTAAGGCAAAATTATGTATTAATCTGTGCACGAGGAACAACCAATGCAGCAAGAGTTGTTTGGAGCTTAAATATTTACACCAAACCGAAAAATTCAACTTTTTACAAAGAGCAAACCTCCCCGGGCGGGGCTCCAAACCAAAAAAAAGACCCTTTGTTTGCAGGAAAGAGAATATTGAACAGGAAATGTCAGTACTTAGATCTTCAAGAACAAAAAACCACCAACAGTACTTCCCATCAATAGTAATCTATCCTATTTCGATAAAAAAGATGGGGAATTTTATTTCTTTGAACCATAACAAAATTAAAAATTAGCATGGACTTTCACAGACAAGATCGCACATCAAAAGAATCAAAATTATGAGAACTCCAATTGAAGCCTGACAAAAGTTACTCATCAGGGTTTTACTTTTAACATTTGCTCGATGACGCACAATAAATTAAATTCACTTCAAAATACAGAAGCAGCTAAATTCCATTCTTTAAAATCTTTATCCATCAAATACTCATTATTTGCCAAAACCCCATAAACGAAAAAGCAACTGAAGCACATCATCTTCTGTATTGCACTAATTATTCGATTCTCGAATTAAATGATTTCATTTCATGTATATAAATAAAGATTGAATAGTAAAATTACGGAGTGGATAAAAGCGTAAAAACAAACAAACCAGTTGGAGGTGTTGTTGGAGCTGTAAACGATAAGATCGAATTCTTCGCTCTTCGTAGCCCGAAAGAACCCTTACGTAGAACATGGCTTTTCTCCCAAAATCAATTAACTTATTCATAATTTCACTATTCCAAATCTAATAATTGGATTAATTTACAGTGTGAAATCCTAACGATAATACTAAAAATCTTGGCAAAGTGGTATGGGAGTGCAGCAGTGGTGGCTGGGGAAGAAGGCGGACTTTTTTCCTTTTCAGTTTTATCTGTTTTTTGTAGGCAGAATTTGTATTTTTACTTGTGTTTGTATTCGAATTTGGTTTCCGTTTTTGTTTTCGGTTACGCACTTACGCTACACGTACATCATGTACCTCTCTAGGATTCATTTCGAATAAAAAAATAATTTATTTGAAGTGAATTCTCACGTGAGAAGGGTAGACACAACATTATGTACAAATAGCATAGTCAACAATGATTTTCTCAGTGAACTGCTCATCGAGTGAACAAAGCAGCTCCAATCTAAACTTATACATAGTTCTTATACGGCTTGCCTATTGATTCACCCTTCGATTGAGTAAGTAGACTCGCGCTTGAATCACTCCATAAACAAGCGTGAACCTATCCCTACAGTGAGCAAGCAAAGTAGCTCGACTTGATTCGTCCCATTTAACACTTCTAATTCATGGTAAGAGAACATAAGGCATATGACAAAACGTGAAAACCTAAGATATAGAAGATCAAACAAGATTTGATAGATTTAAATTCACATAAACATCCACCCAAGTGATACTTCATTGAATCCGTCCGTATAAATTATCATCATCCACATCAAAAAGTCATATACTTTGGAGGAAACTAGTATAATCAACAATACTTGATGTACAATGATTTCAATAACATTACATGCCACATGAAATATTGTCATTGAACAGTTTAAAAAAAATAAAATCATCTTTTCAACCAACACGTTTTGCCACAACCTACATTGTCAACAACGCTATACAAAAACATTGTACAAATAGATTAATTCTAAGCACATTCAAATTTACCACCTCTCTTTAGTTTATGAAATAAAGTCACAAGCAAACCTGAAATATAATTAGAGCTTTTACATTTAACTCCTCAGAGCCAGTCTTATGCTGGAAGTGGTCCTCCCCGTCCCCAAATATCGATTCTGAGCTATGTTCCCCGAATTGTAAAGAAAAATATAGATTTGATCAATTATTTTTATAAATTAAATAGATGCCAAACAATTTCTGAGAATTGAAAATTACGCTGAAACTGCAATACTACAATAGCTTGAGTTCAATTCTCCACAAATGCACAAGTAATCCAACAGTTATTTATATCGCAATTAGCAAGCCTTTTTATATCCATGAAAGAAAAAAAAACATCGGAAATATACCATCAGCCACATGGGCACGGCACAACACAGACACTGAACTGCAAACTGGGAAGTAACCATTAACAACATTTCAAAGGTGAAAAAGTTCAACGACGAGTATTATAATCCATCATATCGAATATACGACGCCTTCATTTCCACAGCACAAGGGAACTCTCAGTTTCTCCTCCTCTTCTTCTTCTCTTCCTTGTCAGATGCATTCTTCAACTGTACCATAAATTGTTTGAGTCAATTTGTATTACAGATACAGATATAGCAAATCCTTGAAGATATGAGACGTGTTCTGTTTTCTGTCGTCAAAGAAAGAAGCCACTCACCATTATAATGAGGATTCGGACAAAGATGGCAACAAAATCAGTGAATAGTGTGAGGGCATGCTTCACGTAGTCCAAGTCTCCGAAGTGCGCTTTCTCGATTATAGCCTGAGTGTCGAACACAATGTAGCCCACAAACACCAAAAGTCCAAAATACAACTGAAAGAGAATGAGACAGTTATGAAATCGTTAGAGCTGACTTTATCGGTTTATCCTTACATTAGGCAGAATGAAACGAGAGGAAAAACTCTGAACCTCGAATTTGAACAGTGATACAGAGCCACTGAAAATTGAAGATGCAAATTGCAGCCAGAATAGCATAGAGAGACCAGAAGAGAGAAGGCCTCCGAGGTACAAGTACTCTCTACGCCTAGCCACCATGGCTGCTGCCGAGAAACAACCAAAAGCCAACGCACAACCAACAAAAGCACCAACAACAATGCTACAGAAAGGAATAAATTGTGATTATAAGCAATCATCTGATTTTAACCAAAGAAGAATCGGAAAAGAGTTCAACCAAATAACTACCTTCAAGTATTACTGTTAAACTGTATTTCAATTGCATCATGCAAGCCTAACCAGGATTCTAACCTCAGCATCATAAAGGGTCGATGCAAGGAATAGCAAGTCTCGAATATTTTCAAAGCTAAAGTAGGCATTCCTTCTATGCCATATAAAGAACTTTAGTTCGAATCGATTCCACTGAACAATGAATTTGAACAATAAGACAACTGAATCGGAATTGCTTCTCACTTGTGTAGACGTTCTTGACAATTAGAGTTGTCATGAAACAGAGCACATATTATATAGTAAAAGCCTCCTGGAATATTTTTCTACTGAAGCAATAAACAACCGAAACATAAAATTCTCTTGTAAAATTAGTCAGCATATTACTTTTAAATTATTGAAATACAATAAGCATGAGGAGGTTGCTTTGAATACAACATACAAGGCCAACTATAACAGAAAGACAAAAGCCAAGCACAACAAAGTTGCATTTGGTTTACTGGATTACACCGTATAAAAAATTGTAAAAATTGTAATGGATTCTTTATTTGTCAATTCAAAAAGAATTTCATTTGCACTATAAATCATAAAACAGGGTGCTGAGCATAGAGATTGGTTTAGATCAGATAGGAAAAGATACCGTAGATGGGATTTTTTTTAAATGAAAGTTCAAATAATACTGTCCACCTAATTCCATAGACCTAACACTCTAATATAATTTTTAATTCTAAATTCCTTATCCATTGTGGCAAACGCAACTTGGATGTATTATCTAAAATTACTGTTAAGCCCAAATTATAACTAGCAATTTCCAAATTTGTAATTCACAATTTCCTAAGTCAAAATCAAGTCCTAATTGAATTATAAACTGAATTATATTAGGAGTTTATTGAGTTACGATCAAAGTCAAAATAGTTAAGGATTGGTAGTATAGGTCTTGGAGGAGTCCGAGGTGTCAAAAATGTCAAAAAAATCACATGTGATCAAAGGAATACAATTAAAAGTCTAAAGGGTGTCAAATAGCCGCACAAGTTACGCTCCAAATTCTAAGTCGCAGCCTGCAACGCATTTTTCATATAGAAAACATTTGAATTTGAGAATTGTGGCCTTTCTGAGATAGCCTTCCAACGCATTTTGAATCACCTCAATCGAACACCGGGAGAAAAAGTTATGATGAAAATACTTATGACTTCTCAGCTGCTGCTCGCTTAGCGCTCAAGAGACGTCCAACAATCCCGTTTTGCTTCAAAAACTTGATTTTGAACCCTTTATCATCCCAAACACTATTCCCTATATATTTTCTACCCTATGAACGTCCCAAAATGTGTTGAATCATATTATTCCATAGAGCTAGTTCATTGAAGATCCAAATCATCATTCCTTGATCTCTAGATTCAACGTCCATATCATTGTGTTCATAAAATCTTTCCAAGCCAAGATATTTCTTTGAACTATAAAACATTCAATTAATTGAGATATACATTGAGCCATATATTTTCATATCCTTTACACAAAGGTGGATTGATCAAACACCAACCCGAAAAACAAGGAATTCTTCAATTAATCCGCCGAAGATAAATCGATACCAGGGATCGAGAGCTATTGCAGAAGCCCAAATTTCAGAGGACTAAGGTCAGGTGCGAGAAGCTAGGATCTGGCATCAAGACCACACAGTCTAGGAGGCTAAGGTATAAATCTGGAGTCGAAATTTATTTTGAATGAGCACACCTCCAATAGGATCAAGGGAGACTGCAGGAGTTGAAGTCAAAAGTTGTACGAGGTTGACAAGTCTGGACCATACTGTAAGTTCGCTTCAGTTTATAGTGGATACTGACTAGCCAAGTGCCTGAAGTTCATACTCAGTTGGGGTTTCTCCGTGATCATCTTTGGTGTTCTTTACGAATTTAATTATTGATTATGGCCTTCAAACCATAGGATAATTGGACTTGTGACTAATCACCTAGAAACAATTAAAAGTGACTTGTTGCTTATTAATTGCTTATTTCCGCACATTGGATCTAAATAAATAAATAAATCGGCTAATCAGAACTTTCAATCACAATAGAAGGCAAGGCAAAGCAGAGCGGAGCAAAACAAGAAATTCAAGAAACATATCACGTGCTTGTAATAGAAACAGATTCATAACGAAACTCAAAAACCAAGCAAACTAATGGAGGACATACCTAGGGTCGAAGTCAACGGACAACTTGATCAGAGGTCCGAGGGATGCCCCTTCAAAGAGAGCAGCTGCCATAAGAAGTGAAACCCTTTTTTTCTGTTCATAATTGAGACAATTACACTCAATTAGAATCCAAATGATGCCATAAGTTTGAAAAATAAACTAGGAAACAAGCAAAGAAATACCTCTTCATAAGGAGGCGTAGAGAGTAGCCAAATGATGCTACCCAAACATCCAATGGTTGTGAAGAATCCACCAACGTTCCAAACAAAGTGAAGATAAGCTCCAACCGCCGATGAAAGTAATGCACAGCATAGCAACAGATAAACCTACAATCAGGCAATCCAATATATCACTTCCACTCTGAATTATATACCCAAATTTCAAGTAATCACATGCACTGAACATAATTTTCTAATTACCAAAGATCAGATATCACAAAAGAAACATAGTAACTGCGAAGAATGAGAAATAAGATCAAATATCTACAAATAAACCAAATTAAAGATTTGAGAAATCAATTCAATTAATAAACAGGGGCACCATAATATTCCAATAACTTATGCTGAAAGGGGGGTAAAATCAGAAGGGCAATAATTATTCAATTCTAGACATCAAACTATCCCAAGAATCCAAAAAAATAGGTTCAAGAATCTGAGAAAAGAAACCTGCTTGAGATGGGTCTGAACAGTAGGGGAAATCTGACGGAAATTCTTGAGAGAGTCGTAACTCCAACTGTTCCGAGAGGCAGATTGCGATTCAAAGAACGATGTGAATGATTCCATTATTTCTTTGCAAGTAATCTCACGCGAATTGAAATTCCTGTGGAAATTCTAAAGGAGGCGTTGAAGATGCAATTTATATGCAGTTGGGTTTCAGCGCTTCTGCGATTTCCTGGAAATTTCCAGATGATTAGACCAGCGGGGGTAATTATTAGTCCTTATCTTATCTACGAATTCTACCTTTATTATTTTGACATTTTTATCCCTGGTTCACTTTTTATTGCGAAAATTTTTCATTAAAAGAATGTAAAATAACAAATATATTCTCTTATTTAAGTAAAATAAAAATAAAAATTAAATAATAAATTGTAATTATACTCTCAAATTTTTAAAATAATTACAAATAAGTCTAAATAAATTATTAAAAGAGTAATTAGCTAAATCGTCCATACCTTTTAATATTATTATGTAAAATATTCATACATTTTATTTTTTTGGACATTTTCACAATTTTCATATATTTTCTCAATTAAAAGTTGTGAAATGATTAATATACCCTCATATTTATATAAAATAAAAATAAAGAACAAATTGTAACTATACTCCCCAATTTTTTGATTATTTATTTGTACTTTTTTGAAAATTTTGGTAGCATAGTTGCAATTTTCTCTTTATTTTTGTTTTATTTAACTAAGGGGATATATTTGTTATTTTACAGCTTTTAATTGAAAATTGATGATTTTCGCGATGAAATTGAAAATATAAGTGAAAAAAAATTGAAAGGTATAGACATTTTGGACAATAATATTGAAATGTAGGGACGTTTGTGCTAATGACCCTTTTAATAATTTATTTGGACTCATTTGCATTTTTTTTTAAGTTTTGGAGTATAATTGCAATTTATTCTTTAATTTTTCTTTATTTATTTAAATAAGAGAACATATTTGTCATTTTATAATTTTTTTAATTTTGAAATTGGATAAAAATTACCTTTTCTGCAATGAAATATGAAAATTGGGATCAAAATGCCGAAAAATAAAAAGTAAAAACCTATTGCACAATAATATTAAAAAGTGATTACGTTTTGTGCTAATTATCCTCGTTCAATGTCCCTTTGCTTCACAAGCAAGTTGCTCATTTAGCCTTCTTTTGTCTATCAATCTTCAAAATAATAATAATAATAATAATAATAATAATAATTGGTTTCTAAAATTTATTTTCAATCATCTTACTTTAAAATATTGTGCATATAAGTTCAAAATTTTAATTTATTTTTTAACCATATATTCTTCAAAAATTATTATTTTAAATTTTATATATTTTTTAGAAAATTTAAAAAAAAATTCCTTTTTAATGGACATTGGAGCTTATATGAAAAAGTTATCACCCATCTCCCCAAACACAACCATTCAGTTTTTAATTCATTTCTTTTGTCACGACTCACGGTCAAAGCCTCAAACTTTAACTTATGTCATCTTGTAAGGAAATTATTAAAATGTTCCATTTTTAGACTTTTTAAAGAATGCTTTTAATCTAGACTCTTCTAAAAAAACATTTTTATTGACATGAAAATATATTTTTTTTTATTAAGCATCCTAGATCATTTGGTATGGAAGTAGCATTTAAAATAATTTAATAAAATAAGGATTTTCAATTAGTTATATAGGCACGTACACATTATATAAAAAAAATTATTTTAAAAACGAAAGTTATCAAAAGTTGAATGAATCCCACAAAAAGTCTTTACATAAATGTCAGTATTCTAAGAAGTGTAAAGTGTAAAACGTACGGGTCAAGTTTCAAATATACGAACTTAGGCGAGGTAAAAATGCATTTCTTATTTTTAATATTATTTTAGTTTTTTATCATTCTAAAAATCATTCAATAATTAAAATACTACATACCAGACATCTAAAATTATAAATTAAAATAATACATAGCAAACATGAAAAATTATAAAATACTACATTTACTTAATAAAGTGTAAAATGTATGGGTCAAGTTTCAAATAAACGACCTTAGGCGAGGTAAAAATGCATTTCTTATTTTTAATATTATTTTAGTTTTTTATCATTCTAAAAATCATTCAATAATTAAAATACTACATACCAAGCATCTAAAATTATAAATTAAAATAATACTCAAACATTAAAAATTATAAAATACTATATTTACTTAATAATTTTTACAATTGATCAGTTGTACAATTTTCAAAGGAAAATTTTGAAATTAAAGTCAAATAAAAGACTTTCAAAAAAGGAAAAAAAATTTTAATAAAATGTGTCCAAGCGTGCATTAAGCAGTCAGACTTTGTAGTTTACTGCTTAATTTCATGCTTACTGTCAAGTGTGGGGTTCTAAGCGCTTTTTTTAGAATACCAATAAATGTTTACAAAAATTTGAGAAAGAGTTTTATTAATTTTGTACGGATCTATAAAATTCAACACCATTTAGTTTCTCTATTCAAGATCGATAAGTTTCTAGAAGGAGTCCTAAACAAAGTTAGTGTTCCAAACTTAAGGTTTGGTAATTAGGTTTTGAGTCGTGGTCGATGTCTTCTATGATGGTCAACAGTGGGAGTTCTAATAGCAACTTTACATAATTGTTGATTTTGAACTGTCCAGAATTTCATTATTCTCGTTTTACTAACTACACTACCAAAATTTTTATATTATAAAATAATATCACACCAAACATACAGAAACGATCTGATACCCATGATGGACATGGTTATAATAGCCATCGTAGGCATTAGATCTTTTCTCACCAAGCCTCTGTTTGGGCACACTTAAAATTACAATTTTGATCGTTTATAACTAAAATTTGGACTGTTATTTTTTATCAAGACAATACAACTACTGCAAAATTTCGGACATTGCACCTTCAATTTTGGACCATTTTATGTCAAAATGACCTTTTTCTCCTTAACATTAAATTCATTTTGCATACAAGACGAGCGTTTTCGATATTTCATTTATAACATCAAAATTTGCTGCCAAATTGGGACCTATTCTACAGTGAGTAATAGTTAATTAATTGCTTGGATTGGGAGAAAAGGTCTCCTAGACGGGCTCCAAATATATTTGAAGTCATTCTCAAATGATTTTCAAATAGTTTAATAATATTGCACCGCTGTACATAATTACGATTTTGACTTTTGAAATAATTTATTTAACCATAATAAATAGCTCTAAGGCCGGCCCAAAGAAGGGATCCGTATACATAATTTTTTATAAGCATAACAGCATTAATTATTTAAATAAATAGCATATCTATATCTATATCTATATCTACATCTACATCTACAATATATTAAAAGTGTGGATTGAGGAGAAACTTTTAAATACGAATTTACCTTTACATATTTAGTTATATGTCAATATTATTCTTATATATTTAATACAGTACCATTGAATATAATTTAACTTCATTTAATATCCACTTAAGTCTAATGCTACTAATTAAATTTAAAAAAAATACTTTTTAATTTCTATAAATGATTATTTAAAGCCATCATTTGAGTTCCTTGTACAATACCCATTTTTCAATTTCACGTTGAATAAATTGAATTAATGCTCTCAATAAAAATTCCTTATATTTTTAACTATATACCAATGCTACCCTTATATATTTAATATAGTACTCTTTAATATAATTTAACTTCTTTTAATATCCATTAAGTGTAAGACCTATTGTTTTATATTGAAGTACTTAAAATTTTACATTAATCAAATTATGTTTACCACTTAAAATCTAAGCTCACATATATAGATGTAATTTTATTATAATTATATAATAAAATATATTAAAGGTTACATTAATATAATGGTAGATTAATTATCATATAAAATAATATTTATTATATTTTTAATACGATTATATATGTAAACGAGCTTCGAAATTAAATGATTAAACTTATTTTTGTTAACCTAAAATTATGAGTACTCCAATATGAAAAATGAACTTTATACTTAAAAGGAGACTACATGAAATCAAATTTTAATTAATCTATCATTAATGTCACCTTTAATATATTATAATGTTATTATATACGTACATGTATATATATTATATTATTTATTATTTATATACGTGAGTTTCACTTAAAATCAATGTTCATCTACTCATATATATATATAATGTGGAGATAGATGAGAAATGTTCAATTACCATTTTGTCCTTATATATAACATTGTCAATATTTTCATTCAAAAATTATAAATTTAACCTTTAATTGATTAAAAATTGATAATATAACCATTTAAATACAAAGGATGATAAATTGAAAAGAAAAAGTGCTTAAATGTCATAAACAGTTAGGAAGGAAAGAATCGATGATGAAAAAAATTATCCATCAATTATAAAAACCTTACTAATTACTCCTAGTAATTAGAAGTTACTTACACTTCCCATATTTATATCCACACTCTAAATACAAATTTTGCATATCAGTTCCACATTTTCACTAAATTCAATTTATTAAGTATTAGTAAAAATCAATATTATCTGTTCTAAAAAATAATTAATATAGTATTGGGTATTTATTATTGTGTGGTCATTTTTGTATGAGCATAAAATTTGATGGTAATCGTATTACTTACTATATAAAAATATATAAAGAAAAGAAAAAGATTTTAATCTCGGTACATTTAAATGAAGAATTGTTATTCCTCCATTTGTATTAAACCCATTCAAAGGAAAAGGAAAACTTTTATTTAAAAATTTTCATTTCGATATCATTTTGAATGTAACTTTGGTTTCTAATTTAAAATATATGCTATTGATTAAGATGATGAGCATGATCAATATGTAATTTTTTTTGTTTCTAAGTATGTTTAGATGATATACCCTTTTTTTTTTTTAGGTAAAAAAGTTTATGGTACAGACAAAATAAGTAATTTTTTAATTTGAAAATTATTTTTATACCTTTAGTTTACTTATTCGTAAACATTTTAAACTTAATTAAATGTACATCTTTTAATTTGATTTTTCTTTGTATCTATCTATATCACAAAATTGTTCGATATCATCGTCATGAACAAATCATTATATTTCAATTTATTTAGCATTTTCACTTTATGTTCGTAATTTTCATAAAACTTTATTTATATGTATATTCTTTAACAATTTTAATTTTTTTCTTTTAACATTAACAATTGCCCTACTTTAAAAATATTGTGCATATTATTCATTCCGTACATAAGATGTGAAACATG